CCTTCTTTTAATTTGTTAAATGCATTGCTTAATAATGCTAGCCTTCCTTTTTCTACCTTAAGCATCTTAGGCTATAAATTTTCCTCTAAATGTTGCTTTAGTTACATTCCACAACTTTTAATCCATAGTTGCATTTACTTTTAAATATTTTCTAATATCTTCTAATTTTCACTTTCTTCTGTGACCAAGTTGTTTAGTTTTAGGTTTTTCTTTTTAATTCCCAAACACACAGTGTTTTCAAACTTGTTATATTTTTAAATGATTTAATTGCACTGTGGTCAGATGATATGATCTGTAAAAATGACCAGTCCTTTTCTTTTCTTTTTAAGATGACTTAATCATTTTATTTTCTTGGGGGTAGTTTTGAGGGCTAGCTTATGGTCAATTTCATAAATATCCCACAAGACTTGAAAAGAATGAGAATTTTAAAATATAAATTGACATTTATATTTGCGGACACAAATTTATAGATATATCTATCAGAACAAATGTGTTATTTGTGCTGTTCAAATTTTACATACCCTAATTTTTCTTTGTGCTTCATTTATAAATTACAAAGATGTGTAATAAAATTTTCCAACTATTAGAGTATATTTTGTAGTTTTGTTGGTCTTTGTAATTTGTCCATTTTGATTCATATATTTTGAAGTGACGTGTAAACAGTTTAAAATTTTATAATGAAGTCATGACTAACTTTATCTCTAACACTAATTTTTACAATAAGGACCATCTAACACTGAAGACAAAGGTACTGGGTGCTAAAGTATTCATTTCATCTCACAATTTTATTTCCTAATGTAATATATTATCAGAGAAGTTGCTTATTTCTTACATTTGGAACTTAATTTCTTTGGTGCCCTAATATATAAATACTTCTATGATCATTCCATGGGCACTGGAAAACTACTTTCCACCTATAGGACTTGATATATATCAATTACAAGTTTATTAATTATAGCATTTACATATCACATATATTTATCTTTCGTCCACTTGAGTTATCGTGAGTTGGAAAACATGAGTTAAAGTCTCCTTATACTAATGTGTTTTCTTACTATTTCACATAATTCTCAAAGTCTTTTCACAATGAATTTTAATACTATGCTACTTAGTGCATATTCATAACTGTCAAATCTTCACTAAGGATTGCATTCTTGAACATTACAACATGGCTTTCTGTTCTTTAATGGTAATGTGTTGAACTTAATCCAAAGTTCAAACTGTGACTTTTTAAAAAGTTATTAGCCCAGTATGCCTTTCTCTGATCTTTTATTTTCAACACTGCTGAGCAACATTATTTAAATACAAATATATTTAGGTTTTTTAAATCCAATTTGGGTGATTTTAGACATTTATATTTGCGGATAGACTTGGTTTTGTGTAGTTACTGTTTTATGTTTGCACTGTGTTCATTGCTTTTTAAAATGTTTCACTTAATGATCTGCAATATCCGTATCTTATCTAATAGGTATACATTCTGATAATTTAGGAAGTTGATATTAAAAGAATCTTTTCTGGGGCACTTGGGTGGCTTAGTCGGTTAAGTGTCCGACATCGGCTCAGGGCATGATCTCGAGGTTTGTGGGTTCGAGTCCTGTGTTGGGCTATCAGCCAGAGCCTGTTTCAGATTCTGTATCCCCTTCTCTCTCTGCCCCTTTCCCACTCACGTTCTGTCTCTCTCAGTCTCAAAAATTACTAAACATTAAACAAAAATTAAAAAAAAAAATCTTCTCTACGTCTGGGTTCCTTAGAAAGCAGAGTCTGAAACAAAGACTTCTATATTATTTGGGGGCAGTGGGGCAGGCAATGTCTAACAAGAATGAAAGACAAGGGAAACAAGGCAAGAAATGAAGAAATGTCAATATGAGAAAGATTATGAAGTTAGCTGCTGCTTGGTTTCAAACCCATTGATTGCTCAACTCTAAGAAATAGGATAAATGGGATAACATTCCTATTTCACAAATGAGGACACAAAGACTAACCGAGGTTCATTAAGTTGCCCAAGTTCAGTAAGTTGCCCACAGTCACAACAGGTGGCAGTGCCAAAATGTAAGCCTACTCTTCCTACTGACTGTATTACTTCTTCATTCTGACACCTGTTCTCCCCTTTGCATTTATGAAATGTTACTCTATGTGTCTGGCTAGGAGCTAGAAAAACAGATAAACATCTCTAGGCCAGTTGAGATCAAAGTTTAATGAGCACCATAGGTCCCTGCTGTCATTAATTCTAATCTCTGCTTTCTCTTTTCTCTTTTCAACTTTCTTTTTACAACTGTTGTCTGTACATGTCCTCAGTGCTCTATGGACAATTCTTGCGGTTTAACCTGTATCGTGTGTGACCCTCTTCATCTATAAAATGAAATGATCTTTTACTTTCCTTTGTAATTGGCAGTAATTGATGACTTTCATCATTGTTCTTTCACCTTAATATTCCTTCAGAATTGCTTCCTTTTTTCTTTTCCAATCTCAAGTATTTTCAAATGCTCCACGATGGCAATACACTGATTTCTGGAGAATCAATCTGAAGAATGTTCCTTCCTTTAAGGATGAGCTTGGTTTATTAAGGCTGCAGGTTTTTAAAGAGGTGAGAGAAGATTTTATTATTTTAGGAGACAGGTCTTCTTTTGCTGTGTTTATTTAAGTACTAACTGAATGTCCCACCTTTATTATTTTCTAGTATTAAAACTTCAATATTACTGAAGTTTTAAATAAGGCACCTCCATAAGCCAAAACAATGCTGAGAGAAAATAATACATTAAGAGAGATTACTATTATTTTAAAAAGGTTTTTAAATATCTCAGCAATTACTTATTTCTAATTATAATCTTACCCTTCTTAAATAGAAGGTTTTATCTCCTCTTCGTCATCAACAGCCTAAGATATGGACTTGCAAGGATAAAACTGTGTCTACTCAAAAGATATGTTCAAGTCCCAGCATCCTGTACCTTTGGGTTTGACCTTATTTGGAAACAGGTTCTTTGCAAATGTAATCAAGTTAAGATGAGGTCATACTGGATTAAGATGAGCACTAATCCAATGATTTGTACCCTTATAAGAGGGATACAGACACAGCAAAGAAGACTGAGGCTAGAAGCCACGTGATGACAAAGCAGACACTGGAGGGATGCAGCTGTAAGAAGAGTAAAGATTGCTGGGAACCACCCAAAGCCAAGAAGAGGCTAGGAAGGATTCTTCCCTGCAGCCTCCAGAGGGAATATGACCCACCTTGACTCTATGGTTTTTGCCTCCAGAACTGTAAGAAAAAAGTGTCTGTTGTCTTGAGTCACTCAGTTCGTGATAATTTGTTATGGCAGCCCTAGCCCTAGGAAACTAATGCAGGGCTTTCATAATTACTGAAGATTAAGTTACATAGTGCCTGCAGTGATTTTTCCCCTTTCAGAATTAACCTATGCCTCGTTCCGTATCAAATAATTTAAGTAAAAGGCATAATACAGTTGACCCTTGAACAATACGGGTTTGAGCTGCATGGGTCCACTTACATGTGAATTGTTTTTATATAGGACAGTACTGTAAATGCATTTTCTCTTATGATTTTAACATTTTCTTTTCTCTAGCTCACTATATTTTAAGAATATAGTATATAATACATATAACATGTAAAATCTGTGTTAATACACTGTTATCAGTAAGACTTCTAGTCAACAATAGGTTAAGTTTTGGGGCAAAGTTGAACGGATTTTCAACTGTGCAAGGGGGTTGGTGCCTCTCACGTATCAAGAGTCAACTGGATTTCATGCTACTAAACCATATTTACTCAGGAAAACTTGAGCCTTTGAAAAATACAACTTAAGACACAGCTTTGCTCTTCTAGAATAGTAGGGGCTTTGCTTTATTTACACACCTTGTTCACAGACCTTATTTTAAATGGATGACATAACAGATTACTAAAATAAAGCAACCAAAAGCAAGGGATAGTAAACATCAATACTAAATCCAATGAACTTTCTACCAAACATGTATGTAATTCGAGATGCCAATGAATAAAAAGAATAGAAACTTAATTTATCCAAACTCAGTAAAGGCTTCTGAAATCTTACTTTAGCTGGACAAAGAACAATCACTACTTTGAACATAACTATTCTACATTTGCTGGTAGAAAACAAAAAATCTCCTTTCAGCCCCATCTTCCCTTGCCAATATCCTCACACAAATTTTCAGTTACAGATTTTTGCACTTTCTACTTAGAGTTGTTCAACACAACCATTCATGCAATTAATATGAATATTTGGCAACTCAGTCCTGTTATCATTAATAACTAAGAATCATACATGACTATGGATAAATATATATACATAGAATTATATTTTTTTCATACATGCTCATATATAGAAACATAGTTACATTCGATTGCATATTATATGCTAGCAGACAGATGTATATGTAAAGTTAACTTGTTTCACTTTAAGAACCAACAACATATTTTTAATAAAAATACACATAGAAGGGAAGGATAGCTAAGAGCTATTTCCTTTAAAATATAAGACAAAATTGATACTCAACAGCCTTTTAAAATAATCTAGCCCCAAAAATTAAAATTTTCAATTGAAATAATTTACCACCATTACTGAAATTAAGAAAACATATTAAAGAGATTCTTAACTCTTCAGTGATTGTTTTAGAATCACAAAAAGGCATCACAGAGGAGGCACTCCATAGTCCAAAAGAGATAAACTGTCAAGTTTATCAATCTAATACTTCTTCCTAAAATCACTGTATTCCTTTGAAGTAACTGAGTTAAAAGAGATGCAAATAGAAGATAACCTCCCAAGCAGAACATTTTGATAGATTTACAGGAGATTTATAAATATCTATCTCCACAAATAAGTAGACAATAAATCAGAAAGACACTTGATATAAACATAAAAAAAATAGAACTGACAGGTCTGAAGGCACATTTTAAAGAATATAATCCAGTAAATAAAAGAGAATGAAGGTTTACCAAAAAAAGTAAAATTCTCAAGAAAATGTTATTTGAGGCTTAGAAAACTATTTAAAAATTTAAACATTTAAATTTTATGCAAAACCAAAAATGCTTTCTTATAAGGACTTTTTATCATTTAGCTCTAAAAAACATTTTAAAAATTCTCAACAGAAATGAGGAAATAAAACTTTCTTCCAATTAGAGTATTCTATGAAGCACCTCATTTTCCCCTAAGTTTTCCTTAAACTATAAAAACAAAAAAACAAAACAAAAAACAACAGATGACATTAGTGTGGTGTATAGTTTACTGCAGATTCATTGCTATTTTCTTTATCCTGCTTTTCTTCTTCATGTTGTGAATCTAGTTCATTTCTGCTATCTTCCTCGTCACTAGACTCATTGTCTAATCCACCTTCAACACTGGCAGATTTCTTGTCGTGAGAAGAACTTTCACAGGCTTTGTCTGTGGGAACAGCTCCTTTCCGCTGGGGTAAGATAGTAAAAAATGCTTCTTGCCAGTCTCTGGTTTCCAGATATTCCAGAATAATCTCAAACACTGCAACAAAGACAAACTCCATACATTTCTTAGCCAGGTGCATCACAATGTTGCATACTGTACTTTAAATACTTTGCTTTTGTGATAAGAGTGTTAAAATGTCCTAATAACTACTTTGTTGGGATCACTTCCTTGCCCCAAAGCTCTCGGGCCTGTTAGGTCTTCTCTAGCTTTTCCTCAATTCAGTTCATGAGCACTCAAAGATCTACCATTATCTTCTGTCAATTATAATCAAAAGGCAGGGCACCATTTTCATTTCCTTCCTACTCTTAATCCCTTTCATTTCTTTATCCTTTATGTACTAATGTAAAAACTAGAAACAACAAAAAAGGTTAGCATTAATCTAAGTTTTTTTGTCTTTCCTTTAGTCACTCACTCTTGGGAGTAACCTACATGCTTTTTTTTTTCTTTTTTTTTTTATATAGAGGTAAAGAATATAAATACGGTCTTCTAGTTACTCTTACTTTAATATAATGTTGAAGGGCTTAGTTTGCACTACTTTATGGAAAAGTAATTTCCACTATCTATCAAAGGTCTTAAAAGAAGTTCATTCCTTAAATCAAGAAGTTCATTTCTATAATTCCCTAGAGACTGCTGTAGAGAAGTGTTTAGCACATAAAAAGAGCCCAATAAATAGTTGTATACTAACAAAAATCTCTACTAAACAAATCTCAAAAAAAGCAAAACTCTAGGCAAAGACTCAGCTCTAAGACTACCTACTATGATGTTACTTACAAAAGGAAAAAGGAAAAAAAATCAACAAGAGAATGGTTACATTATTGTATATTCAGATTACGGAATGTAATATAGCCATTAACAATGATTCGACGACATAGAAAAATATAAATGTGGGGCAGGAAACACCTCAAATTTATAACATTTTATGCAACAGAGTAAAAATCCAATTATGTAATAAATATTATATATGCATAGGAAAAGAACTGGAAGGAAATACACCAAAAAATTAATACTAAGTATCTCTGGGGAGTGAAATTCTAGTTTATTTTTCTTTCTACTTTTCTACATTTCCCTATTTTTCTACAATATGCATGTACTATTTCTATATTCAAACAAATTATAAATTATTAAATTTTACAACTTTGTCTCCAGCAAGGTGCATATTTTCTACTCATCCAAAGGTAATGTTATTCTTCAATGGTCTACTCAGGTATATTTTCATAATTCCCTTATATCTTACCATGATTAACTGCCAAAACTTTTCTACTATTCATCTTCACAAAATTTCCAAGGGGGAGTTGTGCATGATCAATCCCATGATCTGAGGCTTGTTTATATGTGAGTCCCTAAAACAGAGATACTATAACTTGGACTAGAACATTAGGTTATTATAACTTAAAGTCTACAACAAAATAAGTACTTTTTAGAAAAGACTTTAGTTCAGAGAACATTATTTGATGAAGTGTGTGTGTGTGTGTGTGTGTGTGTGTGTGTGTGTGTGTGTGTGTTTAACTGCTAATTTGGAAACGTTCTTTTGACAATAAGTATAGTCAGAATGTTTGGGGCATTTGCTTTAACCACTTTACAAACGAGGAAACCAAAGACATCATATTCCCTGCCCATCACAAAGCTCCTCAGTGGCAGAGCCATAGGAGAAACGTGTTCCATGCTTCCTGACTCAAATAGTTTTTCACGCTTCCACACTGCCTTTCTCTTCAGTTTAAAATACACAAACTGAATTTCTAGAGAAGCTCCATCACTCTGTGAATGTAAAAGATACAGACATAAAACTTTGTTTCAATTACATAACATTAAGGGGCACAAACAGTGGGGCACCTGGGTGGCTCAGCTGGTTAAGCACCCGACTCTTGATTTCAGCTCACATCATGAACTCATGAGTTTGTGAGTTTGACCTCCTTATTGGGCTCTGCACTCAGAGTGCAGGGCCTGCTTGGGATTCTCTCTCTCTGCACTTCTGCCACTCCCTATCTCTCTCAAAATAAACAAATTAACTTAAATAAAGAAGAGGTACAAATGGCAGAGACAAAGTAAATGAAAGCCTGAACTGAAAAAAATGTTAAATTGCCTATAAATTTATTTTCCCTGTCAATGAAAAGAATTTTGAATACAAATTTTCTCCTCAGAATTAAAATCCTTAAAAGCCTGGTTCTAAACAGAACTCAAGTAGCCAAAAGGATAAAGTACAGTAGAAAGAAAAGCTAAGTTTCTTAACCTGTAGTTTGCATATTTTGGGACAAATAAAAGCACCTGAGGTAGGTGCTTTTTGAAAACAAAATTATTGTAGTTCAGAGAAAAAATGTGGTTGTACACAAATAACAAAATAGAATTTTTCCACTAAGAAAAACATTTAAAAAGTAAAAATCATTCTGATAAAAACTCTCTGTGATGCGACAGGGCTGCACTGTCCAGCTGCGGTCACCACTGTGACCACCTAAGTCTAAACTGATTAGTTTCTCAGTCATCCTCTGCAGAGGCCATGTGCTAACAGCCACGTGGCTGCCATACTGGACAAGATGGTATAAACTATTCCCACGTTGCAGACAGTTCTACCTCAGAGTGATGGTATACAAGAATAATGAATTACTTCATATTATCCTGCTGACAGTATTCATCTGTCTCTTGGTGAAGATGTCTTTTCTGGAGTTGGGCTGAATTTAGCATGCTGCCAAGTAGCTGGCAAAGTAGAACATGATGTTTTCTTTTACAAAGTATATTTCTAATTTTTTCATTCAACTGAGGGTAAGGAGGTGGTGGGAAGAGACAAAAGTACAAATATAAGAGAAAACACATCCCATTAAAATTATATATTAAAAAAGTCTGATAAGTTTACCATTTTGGTATACCTCTTGGAGTAAACTGTTATAAGTTTTACCAGTGGCCTAGAAATTGATCAGTAGCAGCATCTACTGTCAATAACGGCACATCGTTTAAGCATGTGGGCTCTGGAACAATCTGTCTGGTGTCAGATATCTGCTTTAGCACCTACTGCTATTGATTTTAGACTTAGTTTTTCTATGCCTCCAGTTCCTCATCTATAAAATGTAGAGAATAGCACTGACCTCACTGCATTATAGAGAGGATTAACCAAACTAGTCATATGTGTGAAATGCTTTCTTTGCTAGAAAGGTGACTGAAACATATGGTAGGCACTCAATAATGATCAGTTATCATTAGTACTATTGCTACTTTCAAGAAAACTGGTGTATCAATTTTAAGTATGAGCAAAAACAAAAATAAACACTTAATAGTACCTTTTGATGGTTGTGATCTACTAACCCTCCAATCACATAGGCCTTTGATTCATCTAATTCCTTCAGTACATTAGGTGAGTCTGATGTAAGATAAATCAGGTCTTCTTTCTTTATGAATTCACTAAAATGCTCTGGTTTGATGTGGATATCCTTTAAGACATAAGGAGAAAGATGTTATTAATTAATAGGATTTTGTGGAAATTGGCTGAAAGAAATTATTTTCAGAAAGCCACCCAAAAGCATATGAAGTATAAAAGAATATTTTACAATATTTTATTGAGAACTTACTACTTCAATTCCTTATCACCTCACACCTCAATTACTTAAGTAGCCTCCTACCTTTATTTCCCTGTCTCTAGCCTCAGATCCCTCCGATTTACTTCCATACACCAATGGCAGACTCATTTTCCAAAAACCCTACTTTCAATGTTTTATCTTTACCTGTAGGATGAAACTTGAATCCCTTTACTTAGTGATGCTTGCCTGAATATGGCACTAACCTAGCTTTCTCAATTTATTTTTGTTCCAAAAAAACAAATGCACTTTTTTGGTCACATATCTACTCAACCTGTTCTCCAACCAAAGAATGCCTTTTCCAGTTACTTCCTCTCCATCTGGATGAATCATCAAAAGGAAACGGCTTAAAGATTTAATAAATTCCTTGCATCTGTTTCTACAAAGTTACATATTAGAAATCATCTTCACCAAAATTATCAGGTCATAAGTATAAGACTGAACAACAGTTGGCAGTCAAATTTGTAAATACATTCGTGGGCTGAGGAACGACACGTCATCAAATTCAGATGCAGATAGCATTTACCTAATAATTTTGAAAGAAAAAAATGAAGGACACTTCTCACCTAAAATTTATAACCTCCAAGTAATAAGTTGCCACTTTTCTGGAAAATGGTATTATAAATTTGATCCCTGTGCTTACTAAGGACCCCTAGAGGGACCTGAGCAGAGACCAATGAACTCACAATTCTCTAGAAAACTGGTCATATAAATAATAAATTTAAAAAGCCACAAAGTAAGTGAAAGTACACCTATTTCAGTTACATTATTTCTTAGGAAAATAAGTATGAATATAAAACTTGGTAAGTATATTGCAATTTAAAACTTAGAAAAGCTTTTGAAAATGGTTCACACTATAGGCTATTATCAAAATAAATGCAGTCACTATGGGATCAGTGAATGTGAGAGGAAAGTTTTTCACAGTAAAAACTGGCTTTGAGAATGAAAAAAAAAATAGAAATAACCTAGTACTTCTCTGAATAGGGTGAGGTTCCTCAGAAATTGGTACTATTAGTCATCTGTGCAAATGAGAAGGGTTTAGTCCAATGGAAAAAAAAATGCTAGCACAGATGTAATTTTAAATATTCCAGTAGCCACATTAAAAAAAGTGAAAATAGTTGAAATTAATTTTAATACATTGCACCCAACATAATATACCCAATATGTTATCACTTCAATATGTAATATATATTTTTTTAATTTTGAGCAAGCATTTTACATTCTCTTTTTTGTACTGACTTTGAAGTCCAATGTATATTTCACATTTACAGCACATCTCAATTCCGACCAGTCACATTTCAAGAGTTTACTATCCACATGTGGACAGTGGACACCATATGGGATGGCACAGATTTAGAAGAAACAGAATGCAAGTACATTCCCAAATTTTAAATGACTTCACTCATAAATAATGTATAGTCAGTTTGCTAGGTAGAGACTGTACAAAGACCTTTAAAATTCTTCCTGTTTTAAAAAAGTTTGTTTTAAAGTTGGCAATAAAATAAGTGAGATTTAATGAGAACAGATATGAACAGGCGTTTCAGTTTCTTTAGCTTCTTACATGAGTAACATTAGACTTGGGTACAGTGATAGACAACTTTTGGAGACTTGTTGACTCCTATATTTACTGGCATTATGTAGAATTCAGGTAAAAATGTGGATTTTTAAGCATAAAAATACTTGGAATTATGTTAATTATCTTAATCACCTTCCAGTTGATCCATCCTTTGTCATTTTCATCCATGTTCTTTTTCAACTGACCTCCATGGCTTGTCAAGTAAAACTGATAAAGAGATTGGTAGACACAGAAAGAAACAGCAAATGACTATTGAAGTCCAATATTTTATTTCTCTTCTATACCCATCTGATCATCAGTGAAACATAAAATATATTCATTCTAGAAAAAAATAAATTTGTGACATGTTTTAAACATACAAGAATAAATGTCTGGTATAAGTGACAGGTTTTATGTTTCTCATGACCCACTACTTGGAGTATTCCATCTACATTTTCACCCCATTTTCCAAGCTGCTATCTTTGGACTCTCCCTTAATGATCATTTTTCTACAGACTCCCTGTTTCCATGTCAAGTTTTCACTCACTTTCTTTCGTCACATTGTTTTTTTCACCAGTCCAAAGTCTTGATAATGTCTCTTTGATTCTAAACCCTGACACCTATTTCAAGTCTAATCAAGGGTGAGAAGAATATAAAATGTAAAAATATAAAAATACTATCACTTGATAAAAAGAAAATATCGAACCAAAAATAGATTAAGAGTTTCTGGTTCTTAACATCAGTGAGCCAGTGTTAATTTTTAGGGCATCTGGAATTCAAACAATTCAGTAAGAAAAAGACCCTATCTACTCTTAACAGCAGCCAATTAGTCTCAGGAAGTACCATTCAAAACAATCACTGACTCAAAATCCCTTAGATGGAAGCAACTTCCCCACAGGAACCATGGGACACATCAAGGTGGGCAGTTTCCTCACTTCCTGTGAGAGAAGGAATTGAGAGAGGAGAAACGAGTATGAAAACATATGTATATCCCTTAATGAAGATATTCAGCTACATAGGAATGAGGTCAATGTGTACAAAACACGATGACTGTGCATCGTGTGACTAAGACTGACATGTGGAAAAATGTTTAAAGTATTTTAGTTTTGTAGAAAATTAAAACATTTCTCAAATAGGCATTGTGTTCTCAAAGAAAAGTATCTGTAAGAGTCTTGAAAAGCCAATTGGGATTATCTATATCTTTTCCCAAGGAAGTTATAAAAGGAAACTAGAATCTGTTTTAAATTCCTCAAACATACCTGCACAGGATGCAGTGCTCGTCGATTTTCTGCATAACATCGTTGAATCTGCTTATGAAGTTTCTTAATGTCCTACAAGAGAATGCCATTGTTAAGGCAGCATTTTGAAAATCATCTATGGCCATTCCACAATCTTAGTGGAACAGAATAAGCTGAAGACATGACTAGATAGGTACATTTTTTTCTCTTGAAATACAGGTCCTTTCTGATCTTTTCTATACAACTTCTGTACATATTAACAAAACAATTACTATGAAGTCAATACCCAATTTGACCAATTTCAATTCTGTATCCACTTAAAATGCTCATTCATGATGACATTAACTCTTCTTAAGAGACAACAAAAGGAAAAAACTCTTAGAGCCATACTAGTGCTATTTGCGTAACTTACTAATGGTCCAGAAAGTAAGTAAAGCATGTTCTCTTCCCTAGTGTTGCTCAGACAACCAGTTTTCTCAAGCTACTATATAAGAAATAATTTTATTCACTAATCACAGCTCTTTCTTCTCATTAAACAAATAACAAGAACACTCCTCAATCTTAATATGCAGTTATTGAGTCTTGTAATGTTGGCATCTCTGTTCTATACATATAAATAAGAACAATTTTATTACTTTAGTTTAACTTAGGGGGGCATGATCTTGAAAAACTTTATTTAAGATGCATTTTAAGGGGTGCCTGGCTGGCTCAGTAGGTTAAGCGTCTGGCTCTTGATTTCAGCTCAGGTCATGATCTTGCAGTTGTGGGATTGGGTCCCACGTTAGGCTCTAAGCTGACAGCACAAAGCCTGCTTGGGACGCTCTCTCTCCCTCTCTTTCTCTGTCCCTCCTCTGCTCTTGCTCTTTCTCTCTTAAAATAAATAATTTTTTTAAAAAAAGAAAAAAATTTAAAAAAGAAAAAAATGCATTTTAACATAAAATTTAGATCCAAGTGATATTCCCGATTTACCTACAAAACTTTTCTGACAATGATTCGTGATACCTTTAATACCATCAAGCTGTCAAAACTGCAGTCAATGATAAGGCGAAGTGTGCTATGAACAACATCTCTTCGAATACGTTTTCTGTCATTTCCATCTGAGTTTGATTCCAGTTGACATTGTCGCTCTAATTGTTTTCTCTTGCGTTTTTCCTTCCGTTTTTGTCTAAAATTAGGAATTGAAACTTTTTATTCTTATTCGTGTATTCAGGTATTTACAAGACATTTCCAATTGACAAAGAAACAATGATTTTTTTAAATTAGCAGTTTGAACCATATGAAACTGCCACTTCTGTGGATCCAATATGAGCAATTTTATATAGTCCATCTAAAAGCTTTAGATAGAAAATGAATTTGAAAAAACAGTATATTTTCTACACAAACTCTTACTACTAATAATCCACTTATTATTGGCATTACGCTATATACTAAGACTTTATAAAATACTGAATTTTAGCCCTATGATGAATATTTACTTTTATCATTCTTCTCCTACATAATTTTCAAGGAACAGTAATAGAATATAGGGGAAAAAAAGCAAAGTAAAATTGTTTTTAAAAAAACTCATAAAGCTTTTTCTATAATCTACATCAACTATGGTTTATCTTCCCTCAATAAATTTTGGCATTCTACAATAGCTTCAGTTTAACTGCTCTTACCAAAACCTACAATGGCCTTTCTAGCAAAATCAATGTTAAGCCCAAATTTGATCTTTCTGAGGTGATTATTTTTGTTCTATAACTAGGACATGGATGCTAACTATATCCCTTATTTAAGTCAGTTATTTCAGAAACTGTGCTGCTACTCACAGTAGGCTCTAGGTGAGAAAAACTATAGTGTAAATCCTTCAACACTGAAACATATACAGTTTTAACAGCCCTTGGACTGTGCTGGCTAACAACACGCACAGCCCCAATGTTAATTAACACAAATACTTTTGATGCGTCACAGGGCTGTGCAAACTCCAACATTCCTGAATGGGGTTGATACATATCCATTTTGAAACATACTTGCGCAGTTCTCGTTGTTCTTCCCATTGTTTCTGTTTAATTAGTTTCTTCATTTGTCGTTTAGACATTGCTTCAAACCCTTCACCTACTCTTGGCTTCTGGCTTTTCTCTTGTTCTTCACTTAAGCTTGGCTTTCTTTCAACATTAGAAGACTCAATAAATGCTGGCAGTGTTTCAGAAGACATTGTGTGATGCCTCTGAAAAAACTGAAAAGCAACTTTTGACATGAATAGGTGAGTTACATACATACACACACACACACAGAGTAAAAAAAAAAAAGACCAATAGATGTGATTAAAATTAAGTCATATCAATAATGAATAAAAATATAAATTTAGACAATTAAACATCATTTATTGGCAAAGATCATTTGATGAAATGGGGTGTTTGCATATACTATTTGTGATCATGGCACAATTTTTCCAGAAGGTACACAGATCTATGATTCAAGAGCTTTAAAATGTCATTATACCCTTTGACCCAGTAATTTATTTCCTCAGAATAAATCCCTGTAAATAGATCAGAAATATACACAAAATTAATGCAAAAGGGCATGTGTACCGCAGTGTAATTTTTAATAATGAAGTATTAGAAACAACTTCAATGATAGGAAAAGGTGGCTGTAAATAAATTACAGTTCATCTATAATATGGGCTGGGAATATTAAGCATGTTTCCCAAAATTATTTAGTGATAAAAGGAAATGGATAAGCAAAAAAATAAAAACAATATATACATGTCCAACTTTGTTTTAAAAAGAATACACACAAAATGTTTAATTCTTACCAATGGTTTTTTGCATTTTCTATATTTTATATAATAAAAATATACTGCTTTACAAAAGAAAAAATATTTTTAAAAAAGAGATGGGAAGCCTTTTTTTAGTTGTCATTAATGCTACAGTACAAGGGAAATGTTAACTTTCATTATCTGGATGTACACTCACATGATATTTGACAAAAGTTATGCTATATATAGATTTATATACTTTGGACAGTGCAGAAAACAAATTTGGTTGCCTCTCAGTATATTTCACTGTAAATATATAACTATATATATCCATGTTAGTTACGGCTAAAAAACAAAATATATAAGATGATTCTGTAATCAGTCATGGAATACTTAGGGCCAATGTTTTTAATTGGATTAACCACCCACATCTTTATATCTATGTCTAGAACTGAACTTACCTTCAGATTAGGAAAGGGCTAAGAATACTAAGATTTCTTTTCTTTAATAGATTACTAACACCACAGCTTACAAATTTATTTACTTATCCCTACCAAAGATGAAGCATGAAGCTTGCAAATGTTCTATTGGCCTTAAAGAAAATTCTATGATTATTCCTACTTAAAGAGACAGCTAACAAGTCTGTGCAGAAAAGCTAGTATCTAAGAGAAAAATCCTGACAACTCAGATAATGGAAAAGGATTAAACCTTTGCAGAACATAATGTAAACAGATTTATTATATGGTTTTTGCTTTCTTTAACAGTACAACGTTGTAGGGCGCCTGGGTGGCTCAGTCGGTTAAGCGTCTGACTTCGGCTCAGGTCATGATCTCACGGTTCGTGGGTTTGAGCCCCGCATTGGGCTCTGTGCTGACAGCTAGCTCAGAGACTGGACCCTGCTTCTGATTCTGTGTCTCCCTCTCTCTCTGACCCTCCCCTGCTCATGCTGTCTTTCTCTCTCAGAAATAAAAAAATAAAATAAAATAAAAGTACAGTGTTGTAACAGGAAACATGGGGATAACTAAGCAAACATACAAAGTTTACCAACTTTTGACTGAAAGATGAATTTTAAGATGTGTGCTTTAGGGGCTACAGCAAAAGCCCTAACATTTTGGTAGGTCACAAATTACTGAGGGGGAAAGAAGCATCTAGTAATCTGAGTAAGAGTTCACAAGTTTTCCATCTGTCACGAACCAAATAGTATCCTTAGTCTGGGGGAAGTACCTCCTAGAAATGACAACCCAAGTTTGATTTTACACTGGAAACTGCCTATGGGCACAGATGATGTCTGCTTTTACCGAACATTATATTGCCACATTAATTACATTAGTAACACAGTGCCTGGCACTTAGTAGATGCTGATTATATATGTGTGGAGTAAATAAATGACTATATCACAAAGGATTTCAAAAATTAATGAAACTGGTTATAATGAACATTTGTTAATTTATTACTGTGCTAAGTAAAGAATGTATTAATTTAATCCTTAAAACAATCCTGTGAGGTAGACAGAATCACGCCTACTTTACAAAGAAAGAAGGCACTGAGATAAAATAACTGGCCCCAAATGACAAAACTCCTAAGTAATTCCTAAGAAAGAAGGCATCTAGAACAAATCTAGGACAGAGTATGTTCTCAAAATACTTGCTGAATGAATAGACAAATGAGATGATGGAGCTAAGATCCAAACCCAGATCCAACTCTACTCTCTCCCAGAAATCCAAAATCTTATTTAGAAAATGAGGGATTCCAAAGAATATAGAAGAGCTGTGTTGTTTCAACCCTGCTATTGGAGGCTTCTGAGAAGACTGTGTCACTGAAAGGGCACAAAAAATAGCTCCAGTTCTATTCCTACGCCACTGAATAAAAAAAATGGGACAGACTTCCTAGAGATAGTTGCCCAAAGTTCATGTTTTAAGGCACCCCATCTCTCAATATATATGACAATAGTAGATATGAAATATATGACAATAGTAGATAAAGTTTAAAAGGGGGAGACAAAAAAGGTATAGCCCCTCTCAAAGCCAAAAACAACTAGAACAGACATTGTTCCTGCTGGGTCTGCTGTAGGTTTCCTAGCTTTAAAGAAGGTGGGACAGAAACAGGACATAGCTTAAGATGAACCCTTAAACTAGAGTTGGTGATGGTGCTCCTCTTTCATGAAAAAGTCAGAAAACAGATGAAATTTAGACTAATAATGGCTTATACCATGCTAATACTTGGCCAAAACCTAATGGAAGCAGACACAGCTTCTTGGTTACAAGGGCCAAACCATGCAATGACATATGAACTTAGAATACTACAGGATTAGGGGGTGCCTGGGTGGCTCAGTCAGTTAAGCGTCTGACTTTGGTTCAGGTTATGATCTCACGGCTCGTGAGTTCGAGCCCTCCACACTACTGTAAGTGTGGAGCCTGCTTGGGATTCTCTCTCTCTGCCCCTTCCCTGTGCACACTTTCTCTCTCTCTCAAAAACCAATCAAATTTTTTAAAAAAGAAAAAAGAACACTGCAGGATTAGAATTCTTACCCACCTATGTAAGCTGTGCTGTGGATGAAGCACTAAACGGGGCCATGGGTAGGAGCAACCACAAAATCAGTAGCAGACAAAGAGATGGTTTGGAGAGAAGGGATAATTCCATTCAAGAGAACTAAGCAAAGCAAAGTTAGAAAAAAACAGAAATGATGGGAAAAAACAATAAAATAAACAATCAGAAGATAAATTCACTCTTCAAAATTGAAAATAATAGGACAGTGTGAAAATGACTTTAAGTCTGCTTGACATGAAATGATGCTCAGCGTCCCTCATCATCAGGGAAATACAAATCAAAGCCACACTGAGATACCGCCTCACGCCAGTCAGAGTGGCTAAAATGAACAAATCAGGAGACTCTAGATGCTGGTGAGGATGTGGAGAAACGGAGCACCCTCCTGCACTGTTGGTGGGAATGTAAATGGGTGCAGCCCCTCTGGAAAACAGTGTGGAGGTTCCTCAAAAAATTAACACTAGAACTCCCGTATGACCCAGCAATAGCACTGCTAGGAATTTACCCAAGGGATACAGGAGTGCTGATGCACAGGAGCACATGTACCCCAATGTTCACAGCAGCACTCTCAACAATAGCCAAATCATGGAAAGAGCCTAAATGTCCATCAACTGACGAATGGATCAAGAAGATGTGGTATATTTATACAATGGAATACTACATGGCAATGAGAAGGAAGGAATGAAATCTGGCCATGTGTAGCAACGTGGATGGAACTCAAGGGTGTTATGCTGAGCGAAATAAGCCAGGCAGAGAAGGACAGATACCATATGTTTTTACTCATATGTGGAACAGGAGAAACTTAACAGAGGACCATGGGGGAGGAGAAGGGGAAAAAATAGTTAAGGAGAGGGAGGGAGACTCTTATAAATACTGAGAACAAACTGAGGGTTGAAGGGGGTGAAGGAGAGGGGAATGGGCATGATGGGCATGGAGGAGGGCACTTGTTGGAATGAGCACTGGGTGTTATGTGGAAACCAACTTGACAATAAACTAAATATAAAACAACAAAAACAACACAAAAAAATAATAATAAATAAATAAGTCTGGTTGGGATCTTTCAGAGTTCAGAGCAGTAAAAATCATAAAAACAAAACAGGAAATTGGGACACAAAAGCAGGCATTAAAAAAGCAAAAAAGGATCCATGAAAAAGAACCTATTTGGAAACCAGGAAATGAAGATACACAAATTTCAACAGATGAGACAAACTCCAGATTACCTGGAATCCAAGAAGTAATGGATGAATTAGAAGACATCATGACTATCTCAGAATTCAGAGAACTAGAATGACAAAATATGTCAGAACAATTAAAAAGACCTGAATAACAGGATGAGAGAAATATAAGCAAAAAATTAACTGGAGATGAATGTATAACCTTGAGTGCATTCATTAAAGAGTGTTTTTAAAAAAGCTGTAAAATTGGGACAACTGGGTAGCTCAGTTGGTTAAGCGTCCAACTTCGGCTCAGGTCATGATCTCATAGTTCGTGGGTTTGAGCCCTGTGTTGGGCTCTGTGCTGATGGGTAGCTCACAGCCTGGAGCCTGTCTTCAGATTCTGTATCTCCCTCTCTATCTGACCCTCCCCTGCTTGCACTGTCTCTCTCTTAAACATTAAAAAAGTTTTTTTCAATAAATAACTAAAAATCTGTAAAATAAATAAGCATTTAACTTAAGAAACAGGAGACAGGGGAAACTCAGTCTTCCTGAAAAAAATTAGAAGAAAAAATTAGTATATATATATTGTAATCCCCAGACTTATTTTACTTCCTTTCCATACGTAGTGCATTAAGTAAAAGCCAGCAATGCATGTATGCAAAGCAATACATGGTAGATAAAACATAAGCTAGACCTGCCCAGTAAGCTAAACGTGTAACTTAAAAACACAATTAAAATCCACAGGAGACAAACTGCTCTCTTCATGAAACAATGATTAATATTCCAGAAGAGGGGGTGCCTGGGTGGCTCAGTTGGTTAAGCATCCACTTTGGCTCAGGTCATGATCTCGCCATTCATCAGTTTGAGCCCTACATCGGGCTCTGTGCTGACAGCTCAGAGGCTGGAGCCTGCTCCAGATTGTCTCTCTCTGCCCCTCCCCCACTCATGCTCTGTCTCTCAAAAATAAACATTTAAAAATTTTTTTAAAAAATATTCCAAAAGAGAATATTTCTGTTCATCAGTGACATGGTGTTTTGTGATAGTTCTTTATCCTGATAAAAACCTGCAAGTGTTGAATGGCTCTGTAATGAGAAAATTTTTAAAAAGCAATATATAGCACTGTTTTACAGCTCATGTACACCAGGGGGAGCTTTTGCCTTTCCTACCTAAGAAGTCTAAGTTAATTTTAACTTGGTCTATCACTGCATACAAACGTTTTTAAACAGGCTATCATATACAAGGAAAGGTCATGAGCTGGTCGACATCATCATTACTTTCAAACCTATTCGCAGTTAAGAAAATGCACTGCAGGAAGTGATTTTTTTTTAAGCTTTGAAAAGCTAGATATATAGAGGCACAAAATTTAAAAAAGTAATAATGCTAGCTTAACATCCAGTATATTACTGCTAATATCACACTTTACATACAAATAAATGTACCAACTCCCATTTCCTATACCATACACTAAGCATTTCACTATGTACTAGCTTGTTCAGGTTAGCTGGTAAACAAAATATGGCATTTTACTAGATATACCCACTTTTTAAAGGTTTTGCTCATTTAGAAGCTCCACACCAGTTTTGTGTTCCTCCCTTGAGTGAAATGACACTCACAGCACATTTTTCTTTGTTCAACAAATATGTAAGGGCAATATTTTGTAGCAATTACAGATGTATTTGTGTGAAATTTAACACAGAAGTTGTAAAAGGTTGGATCAGTCACAGAAATAAGGTTTTCAGGTTATTCGATAAAATTAAGAACTGGATAAAGATGACTTAAGGCCATTTGATGCGAGACAAAGAAGTTAAAAAAAAAAAAAAAAGCACCTCAATCTTCCCTGTATTTCCACTTCTTAGCACAGCTTCCACACATCACACATGGCCAAAATAAAAAAAATTAAAAAACCCACCAACTTTCATGGATTTTGATTGGACTAAATAAAATCTTCGCTTTATGACATCGCCTCCCTTCCTGGAATATACAAAGGAATGTTGGAATAACTGCGAAGTGGAGTTAAATGACGGACGGTGCAGGGAATGAAAAGAATCCCCCTTTTAAAAGGCGCCGGCCTGATGTGCAGTATCGAAAGCGCTTGGTTCAGCTCTCAGGTCCCTTGGGACGATTTGGCTGGGACGGCGAGCGGGAGATAAATTACAAAACAACCGAAACAAAAAGTGAGAGAGCCCTCTGTTTCCATCTTCTTTCTATCCCTAGAAAAACTCCCGCATTCTAACACTTAAAATATCTCCCTGAAATCAGGTTAACGCCTCAGTCTTCTTAAAAGACCATCCTCGGCTCATCACCACGGGGCTTAAGAGCACTCGCAGCAACTTTCTCCTGGGCTCTCTACATCTCAGGGCGCCCAGCCACGTCAGCCCCTCGCTGCAGAAACGAGGGGAGGCCGAGTTAAACAGCGAAAGCGACGGCTCACGGTCTCTAGCCACCAAGTGGCAGAACCACAACTCGTTTCCCAGCCATTCAGAGTCCAGATTTCCCTCTCCCTTCACTCTTTGGAAGCTCACACTCTTCCGTAGTAGGGACCGGACCCTGGCCCCCAAACAAACCTCGGCCATAGGTGCCCCCACCGGGGGTGGGCAGAGCCTCACCCGACTCTCCCCCTCAGGTCCACCCGCCTGCGAACGCACTGGAGGAGGGATTAAACTGCAGCCAGCGAATCAGGGAGCTGCTTGGCGCCGGGGACGCGCTCTCTCTGACATCACTTCCTTCGGGAACTGGGTCCAGGCGCCACTTACAAGGCCCCACTCCCCTCTCCCCCGGAAGCCCTGATGCTGAGGATGGCACTTACAAGAGCCCCTTTTGCGCCCAAAGGCGACCAGAGGCTAGGCAAGCGCCAGCCGCAGTACCAGGAGACTTACCCGGCTCAGGAGTTGTCAGGGAACCGAGAGCACCAACACAAAGCCTTCTCTTAATGCTCTCGATACAACTCACGAATCTTCCCCAGGAAACTTCAACTCCCAGAGGCAGGGACGGTGGCTACGCGTAGGAGGCTACGGCGCGTACGCCTTAGCGTCATCGAACTGCGCCAATGTTGGACCCGCAGCGGAAGAAAGGGGGAGGGAGTGTATGTTGGGCGGGGTCTAGAGTTAGGGATTTTGGAGGAGGGCATGTAGTTATAGCGGTGTATGTTTTTCCACTTCAAGGCGAGTATATACTTGGCGGGCTCGTATTCATTTATATATTCCTATAGGGATGGAGGAGAGGTGTTACAAATTTTAGATGCGAAACAGTGATGGAGAGCTCTTAACGCTCTGCTGGAGATGAAAGCGTAGCTTGCTTCAACTATAATGTGTACGGAAGAAGGTTGCATCACATAATTTCACACAACTCAAATGAAAAATCACATTTAGAGAGTGAGTCAAATTCCCGATAAGATGCATTTAAATCTAGAATGTTTAAACTTTTTTTTGTCATTACAGCCATAAATCTTAACTCTCCATTCATTCCTTGAGCTATTTTTCCTATACTGTTTTGCAAAACATCATGTGGCATTTCATTGTTTATAATACGCGACCTTATATGATCTTTTCTGCTATATATAGACCAAGTCAACTGAGGGAGAACTGAAACATAATCTAATAGACTGTCATTTTCTATTTAGTTTTGCTTTTGGCCCACTTCTAATAGGGGATTATTGCAGAATTTGAAGATAATAATGAAGTTTGAGATGGTGAATGGAAGACTGCCCTATTGGTATGGAAAGAATTGTGAAGTGAATACTTGATATTTGAAAGCATATTTGAACATGTTTAAAGGTTCTAATGAATAGAAAACTGAATTCAGAATTTGAGTTTTCTAGTCACAAAACTGAAGTCATTCTTGCTTTAAACCCTCAAATTTTACTTGAAAAACTATGTCAGCTGTAACACTGTTGTGGGTCACTCCCAGTTTCTTCCTCATCTTAAATCTAAGAGATCTTTTAACAACATTGACAACAAAGTCTGGATCCATTTCTGATGTTAGTAGGGCATCTTTTTTCAGCTGCCTCTGTATCAGGGCAAAGAGTAGCTGAGGAAGGATTAGTAATCGGATATGTAGCCCTTCACATGTAGGTCATTAAACTAAGGCTGGCATAGTGATGTGCCAAGTTTTTCAACAGCTGTTCAGTGCCCCTCAGGATTCTGTTTATGAGTAATTATATATTTTTTCAGTGTTAATACCTGGCATCCTTAGCTACTTAAAACAATTTTTAAGTCACCTTAAAATCTCTCATATTGTCATGGTGGAGTCCATAAGTTTTCTTTTGATATACCCATTTAACTTTACAGTCAAAATTGCAAAATTTTAAATGATTCTACTGTCAATCCAATGCAAGCACACACAAAAAAAAAAAAGACCAGCAAGAAAAGGTAGGGAAGAGGGCAATTTAACCAAAGATTGAAGCGTAAATTAGAAAGTACAGGAAGGTAAATTCATGAAATGAAATAATCTTATTTTCATTGATTTGTAAAATTCATGTATTTGTTTTTTGACACATTTATTGAGTTCCATGGTTTTGTCTTAATACTGTTGATACAAAGATAACTAAGTCATAATTGCTGTCCTGGTAAGGAATCCATAGACTACTGGGAGAGTAAATAAATACCGTACAACATATAATGTACTTGAGATAGCTATACATGGAAAGGAGCAACTAAATGCTCCTGGACACAGGGGATGCAGTTTTAGATATGGAATAATTTTGCTCCATCTTGGAAAGTAAGTGGTTTTCCAGATAAAAAGAAGGAAAAGGTATTTAAAATATTGGGAGCTATAAAAGCAAAGATATGTCACAATTTGGCACATAATTGAAGAGCTGTGAGTAGGATGAAAAAAGATGAAAGAATAACCCTAAGGGTGTTTTAATTTGGACAGCTGTAGGAATAGAATTATATTAACTGGGTCATTTAAAGAATAGTGGAAGGAAATTACATTTTGAAAAAAAATAGTTTGATATTGAATATGTGGGTTCTGGGGAGTATGCTCCCCAGATATCTAAGTAGAAACTGATTTAGAAATCATCAGCACATATCTGGTGGCTTAAGCTGAAATAAGAGCTTGAAATCAAAGAGACACTAGTTCATGTGTTGCCAATCTATAATGTCTATGAGGACTGGAAGGTAGCAAATGAGAGAAACTATCTGGGAGGAAAGTGTCACAAACTGGAGAGAATATTCTCTGTTTAGCGCACAAGTTCCAAGTAGGAATATGGGCTTAATTACACCAGATCTCAATTTTTAAAGAGCAGCCAGGAAACTGGATTTTTATGTGAAATCTGGTTTTTAAGTGTTGGCAACTCTTTTGTTTGTTCATTTTTAAAATACTGAGCAGGCTAAACAGAACATGTGGATCACAATCAGAGACTTGGCAGCCAGTTTGTTAAGTTGGACTGTATACTGTAGAGTGAGAAAGGGGCTACAGATAGAATTTTGCAACAACAATAACAAAATGGTAATAAATATAGCTATGAGCCCCTTAAAATGTTTGACCTGAAAACATTGGGCAGTCATCACAAATTCCATTATTTTAAGGCTAGTTCTGGTATTTCATTAAGTCTGAGAGTATTCTTCAGCAAGTTGGGAGTGGGAAGGTGTGGGAATATGTTAGTTCTAGAGTATTCTAGAGTATGTTAATTTCAGGCCAAGAAAGCAAAACAAATTAATTTTTAAGTTACTTGAAAGCTATCTAAAAAGCAGAATCAATCTATAATAATCATTTCAACTTGCATTTTGATTGATTTTGAAAATATAGAAAAAAAAATTGAAACTAAAAAAATCAAACCAACCAACAAACCAACCAACCAACCAACCAAACAAACAAACAAACAAAACATATCCCTTCTCCCCAAGTAATACGTGAATAGGGAAACTCTAGGAAGATGACTGTGGAGGCATTGTAGTTTGAATTTCCTCATGAAAACAGGTAGAATGTCTTGGATAGCAAAACAACAATAAATTCAGGTCATGGCAGTAACATAACTAAATGAAAAAGAATCCTTATAAAGCTCAAAATGTGAGCAGGTGGGAACAAACCATCAATTTAGTATCAGCATCTGTGTAAGAGGAAGCAGTGGGAAGACAACAAAGCATCTGAAGGCCATGACAGTGGGAGGACCCTCAAACTACCAACAGGTATTTACTGAAAAGCAAGGGAGATTAGTATGAGGTCAGAAGCAAACTGCCTCACTGTAATTTCAAGATGAGGAACAAAGGGAGGAGCAGCAAAGTCTGAGAATGCTGAAGGGGTATAGGGCTTATGAACTCATAAAACTTATTGCTGAGCTCCTTTCTTGGACAAAGCCCAACAGTAAGCAGAAATTTCTGTGAGTAAAATCCAAGTTGAACAGGACAAGGACAATAGAGGAAGAGAAAAATGAAGGTCAAAATAAAAGAAGACACAGAGCTCAGAAATGACAATGATACATAAGTGTCATTTTATGAAAACATGAGAAAAGGAAGCTCTAGAACCATGAGGCTAGAAAAGCTATTATACTCCCCTCCTTTTCTCCCATCCAAGTACTAACCAGGCCCGACCCTGCTTAGCTTCCAAGATCAGACGAGATTGGGCGCGTTCAGGGTGGTATGGCCATAGACTCCCCTCTTTTTCTTAAAGATGAAGAATAACTAGCTTCAAAGTATGCCACAAAAGGATTATTGCTGAATCCTTTTTAAGTTATTATAATAAAAGAATGTGAAGTAGCAAAAAAGCATATGAAGAATATAACCCAATGATTCAAAACAAGAAAAAAAATTTAGTGATAGAAGCTAGAACAACAAAAAACAGAAGGAAAAAAAACTAGAACAACAGAAAACAAACAAAAAAACCCCTTGAGAGATAAAGTGATTGGAGAAAAGAATATTTGAAGAGTGACAGAATTCAGAAAAGAATAAAAAATATTAAAAGTGTATATATATGTATATATATACATCTTACTGGAAGTCCCAGCTAGTGCAATAAGACAAGAAAAGGAAATATTTTTCTTAGAGACTACTAGAATAATATATACCAACAAATGGGAAAACCTAGAAGAATTGATAAATTCACAGAAATATGAAGACTGAATCATGAAGAAATAGGAAATCTGAATAGACCAATTACAAGTAATGAAATTAAATCAGTAATTTAAAAAATCTTCAAAACACAAGGACCAGGCAGCTTCACAGTTGAACTTTACCAAATATTTAAAGAAATTAGTATCAATCCTTCTCAAATTATTCCAAAAAAATTGAAGAGGGAAGAATACTTTCAAACTCATGATGCCAGCATTACCTTGATACCAAAACCAAAGACACTGTGAAAAAGAATAAGTAGTAGTAATAATAATAATGGTAATACAGGCTAATATTCCTGATCAAAACAGATGCAAAAATTCTCAACAAATTATTAGTAAACCAAATTCAATAATACATTAAAAGGATCATAATTCACGATCAAGTGGAATTTATTCTAGAGATGCAAGGATAATTCAACATCTACGAATAAATGGATGTAATATACTATATTAGCAAAACAAATGATAAAATCATATGAACATCCCAATAAATGCAGGAATTGACAAAATTCAACATCAACTT